ACATCAAGCAAAAAAGTTGCATTAAGTACTTAGGTGTATAATTGATGAATTTATGAACTGGAAAAACCATTTGTCATATGTTAGTATTAAAATAGCTAAAAATATAGGAATCTTATATAGATTGCGTAGATACCTGAGCATTAACTAGAAAGCTTAGCTCCTTTGGCTGTTGTACACTTACACCTATTATATTGTTAATTATATTACAAATTCTAAATATTATTCAACTATATATATATTCTTGTAATGCTATTATATAAAATTGAAAAAAACAGTGTAAATAAACTGAAATTGAATTGAATTGAATTAACCAAAATATGGTGACAGAAAAAATGCAATTTTTTTCTGCTAACAATAAGACTACATGTACAATAAAAATATATCAAATGAAAAATATTATTAAAATATATATATATATTGAAGCTAACATATCGGATGTTAAATGTTCATTTTTTACATCCCTTCTGCACCAACAAATAATTGTTTCACTGCAGCAATAAATGCATGGACTTATTAGGCCATAAATTTACCTCAATTGCTTCAGGTATCTTGCCCAACAGTGCTAAGGATTCAATCAGCAATGTCATGAAATGATCGCTGTCTTTTTCAGGATCAACATTGAGATCTTCAACGAGCTGGAAAAAAATTATTCAATTACAGTAAGAGTCCAATGTTAAAACAAAATAATCAGTGTAGCAGTTATTTTTGCAGTTATCAGTGATATAAGTTTTGATCTGATTCTTTAAATTAATGTTCTCATACAAGTACAGTATCTCAGTCTGTACCTCATCGCCAATCTTGCTGTTGATGTCTGTTTCAGTGCTACCTTGTTCAAGCATCAGTGATCCTGTAAACAAATAAACAAGGCTGATAGTTGGCCAACAATCAGTTAACACACAGTAGATAGTCTGCTGACTATCGACCAACAGTCGGGCGATAGTTGACTGACACGTGTCAGCTGGCCATGAAGTACACGATTACCCAAATGAACATACTAATTAGTCCACAAACTTACACACACATCTAATCCAGTAACAACATTTAATTTTACAGGTATACAAGGTCTGTCTTTACTACCAAGAGAATACAGATATCATTTTTATCAAAGGTATAGTAGCCTGCCTTACTTGATGCAGATCTTGTGTGTGTTTTTTGGAAATTCCCCACAGGTGTCTGGATACTTGGCACTGTCTCTGTAACTGTAATTGTACCAATGGTATAATATTAATATATAAAACAGATACAGTATGATCCAGTATGAATCACACAAATTATTCTCCATCAGACACTACACGGAATTAGCAACCATTGGTCTAATATCACTCACTGTCGATCCAGTAATACAATGTAGTCAATTTAAATCTCACAAAATCAACCACTACCAGTCACTGAGACACACCCTCTGCAACTGTCAATCAATGTCCTTCTCTGTCAATCACATGTGACAGAGTCAAAAGACACTATTTTGGACAGTAATTATTTAGTCATAAATCTATATTTTTAATTAGGAATGCCTCGTGTACACATAGGAATGTAATTCTTTAGTTAACTGTTTGCGTGGAAAATGCGTAAGCAAGAAATAATTTCCGTACGTAATTACATTACAGTGAGTCATGCCTAGGTTTGGCGCTTGTTTATGTAAGTTCGTGTTTGGGACATCCTGTTTGCGCCTAGGGCGTGCAACATTGCGTAGGATGTGTAAGGTCTTAAGAATGCAGGTTTTCCCATAAAAGTAGGCCCAAACTAAGCTTAAATCAGTGTAGTAAAAGTTCTTGAAGACGTTGCGTTGTCTACGGATATTTTCACATATCAAGACAAGGAATTCTCTTCGATGTAAAGAGATATCCTGTAATCTCGTTCCCGTTGTTTTCCGTGTATTGTAAAGTTGTGTGAATTTTTCAATAAATTCTTTTGTCAAAACCACTTGCAATCTGATTCATAGCTGAGCGCCTTGCCGCCGGTTACACACACAGTGTCTCAATATCAACCACTACCAGTTACTGCCAAACAACCTAAACTACAGTACTGTAAATCAATGTCCATCTCTGTCAATCACACAACATCTTTCAATAACCACTATCAGTCACTGAGGCACACCCCCAGCCACTGTCAATCAAAGTCCATCCCTGTCAATCACAGCATCTCAATATCAACTACGACCAGTCATTGCCAAACACCTATGGCAACTGTCAGTCAACTTCAAACCTGTCAAGATCTACAACATTATTCCATATCAGTCACTAGCAATCACTGTCAGTCATTTCCACTAGTCTTATAGCCAGTCACTGATAATCTAATTATGAATTTATTGGTTACTAGACTGATTCCATAAGTCAGTCCCAGTTCGCTCTCTGTCGATTGTTGTTGTTGTTTTTTTTGTCACTCAAGGTTCACTAGTTTTGCGAGCATCAAGGAACAAAGGAGTGGAGCTACAATTTACGGAACCAGTCTAATTGCCCTATTTTACTATGACGTCACTGCTTGTTTATGTGGGGGTCAGAATCGCCAAATACAATAGAAAATTCAACAAAATTTGCTCCTAGCAAAACAGTTTAATCTAAAATAGCCTGGTTTCCAATAATATGTGTTTTAAAATATTAAAATATTAAGATATGTACTAAAAATATTCTGAGCCTTTGCTGCCTATTCTACATGTACTTCTCTTCGTGGATTGATACGGGTTTTGCATTGATTTGACCCCCTCCGACGACCATGATTCTTTGTTTTTGATGTGACGTCTCAGTGAAATAGGGCAATGGATTACTAGTAAAGTTCAGATTTGAGTTTTATTATTTCAAAATCCAATGTTTGTACCTTTGAGTCTTGTTGCAGTCCTTTGTGTTTTACTATCATTAGAACCTGATATCAACCTTTCTCTCTGTTTTGGTTTACAAGACCTGATATACAGGTGTCTGTGAAGTTCCTCTATAAGTGTCTCATGAAATACCTGGTGTACAGTACGCACCAAAAAGAAAAAAAAATTGAAGTCATAATTGGTACATAATAGTGACACAAGATGATAAGGACAAACAAAAAAATAAGTGTGTTTCCTGTTGCATGAGAAAAATAATTGGGGTCAGTCGGTAGGTCAGATTTTTTTTACTGATACAACAGTGGAAATGARCTTACTGGAAACCCTGTGGTGCATTYGGGAATGAAAAAAATATTAGGATCGGCAAAAATCCGCAAGAAATTCAGGGTCAGTCATGCAACAGGAAACACACTTATGTTTTTGCTTAATGGCCTAATTGCTATTTGCGGACGCAATTACAGCAGTGGTGCAGCTCAATTAGGTTTAATGAGTGAGTTAGTGGAAGCTATGAGAAGGCAAACCTTGCTATATATACAGTTCATGTGTGACCCACAGCACAGCTCCAACCAGTTTGAATTAGTAAGTGTCAATTTCAAAAGGGGGTCGGGAGAGCAGGAAAAACCCTGAGTCTGAGTCACAGACAGAGAACCATCTAACTCAGCTCACATAGGCTGACAGGGATTCGAACCCTAAACCTCAGAGGTGAGATACGAGCAATTTATCATCACACCATCCTGACTCTCCCAACAATTGTTATAATTTGTATAAATTCATATTATGCATTATCCTACCTGTACACAATTATACACTGGTACTGAGCAAAAAGACTCTTATGGCAAAATGCAAAGCCGTACAGTACAGTACATGTGCTCCATGACCATAAGCTCCACAAATGTACACAAGTGTGTTGGTTCACATAGTGTTTATCAAGTGCCTTGTACAGTGATCATTTGTTTTAACTAATTTACCCACCTTTTTCTTGGCCTGCAAATCAAGTCGTACATGACGTAATGCTTCCACACCTGACAAACTGCCTTCGAGAAGTGAAACTGAACAGAAAAAAATAAATAGTAGTTCCAAAGATAACAAATGTTCAACATCATTTATAAAATTTGTGACATTCAATATTGGCTACATGCACTCAAGATTGTAGGTTGAGGAGTGTGCTGCATTAGGGAACAGAGTATTGCACTGGCACCATTTTTGTGCAGTGATTATCGATTTACAAAGAAAAAAAACAGCATTAAATTAAACTATGTGTATTATCATTTTACTTAAGGCTCGTTTAAATGTTAAAACTATAAACTGAAACTCGTGTGCAACGGTGTTGCCATACAAGTTTCAAGGGGCTGTTATACAAAATTTTTGTGAGTCACTATTATCCGCAATTTTATGTTGCATGCTCGCTGGGAATATTGGGCTCTGATTGGATTACTCACTAGGGCATGTTGAAGAAAGTTTCATATTATTATCTGTTTTATATCTTATATCTTTAAATAACAGAACAGTTTGTAGATGTTATAACATTGTACCTGTAGAGACAAGTAGCTCTGTGGCATGGAGGTAATACTTTTGCTTTTTGTGTTTTTCAATTTGTTCTGGAACATTTTTGACTTGATCACTACAAGGAAAGTGAAAAAAGAGACATGAAACCATAGACCTTAATTCATTATCTTTGCCTTATGTAGGTTTATACAGGGTATCTGACAGGTTGATGGGTTGAGGATCCCCACAATACTCCCATTTCATAATTGCCTTTGCACAGTCTTAGCTTCGATTGTGTACAAATGTGTTCTTTTCTTTCATTAAGGTCCATTGTATAGTAAGGAATATATGTACTACGGAACAATATGAGTTGATTAAAATGCAACAGGTTTTGGTTAAATAGCTAAATATTATAACACCCAAATGAGACTAAGATGGAGCAAAGAGAACTCGAAACTAGAGTATTGGGTCAATCCTGCACAATCCTACACAATTATTCAAAATCTGCAATATCCTGCACAATTTGTCGAAATTTTCAAAATAATCTAGCACTCCTCTTGAGATCATTGTAATATTTGTAAGGAATTTAGCCTTTTTTCATGGCAGGAACCCTTCCAAAACATGTCGAAACCCCCTGCGTTTTTTTGAAACTGTTCTAGTAGAATATGTAAAAAAACAACAAGGCGTCTTTCTTGTATCTTGGAATAGCCTGATTTCTAGTAAATACAAMAAGGAATATATTCCTAAATTGTGCTAGACAGCATTAATACTTATTTTAACATTGTTGTTCATTGGTAGAATGTAAATATTGAATCAGATTACATTGATGTCATATGACTTTTTTGTGTGATTATTAATTTAAAAGATTTTAAAAAACCCTTGTACAGGATCCCACAGGATCTTAACAGGATCCTACATGTATAGGATTTTGAAACAGGATCCTATAGGATTTTGAATCATGATCATGAGAAGGATCCTGTACATGTAGGATCCTGACATGACTCTGAAAAGCATCCTGTCTACGATTTGTAGCAGGGAATGTGGTACTTATATTAGGGTAAAATACTCACATTCTATCCAGGAGGCTTAAAACTTCATTGTATTCCATTCCCTCCATCCAGTATTTCTTCAAGTCATCTCGTTTACATCTCAAAAGTGTCTTACAAGCTTGAAGACTTTCCTTCAAATGCCTGACTCTGTTTCGGGATGCTTTAAATTAAAAATACACATCAATTATCAAACAAGTGGATTATTACAATTAATTACGCATTGATTTTAATGGAAAAGCTACCAGTGTTCTTTTTCTCAATAAAATAAAAAATGACTTGCTTCTGCCTCGAATAGTTTTTTATGCTAACTGCGGTTAAGCAATTATAATTGTAACATTATCATTGAAATGAGAATAAAGTCGTTGTTATTGTTGTTGTTGACTATATTATAACTGTGTCTGTGCAGTGTGCATGCCGCGTTCGTGGATTCTCACAGTGTTATTGGTCTGGCCATATTAACTATGGTCTGGGACATAACTTGTTGGTTCACAACAGGATTCATTCTGCAGGCTTTTCATAGTAATACGTACAAAAATTACTCTAGTTTAAATAATTTAAACCAATTAAAAAGTATGTTTTCTCTAAAAGTCTCGTATTGTAACCTTCAACTCTTGATGCTATCCCTGTAAAGATCCTTATTGTGTCCTTGAGGTGCACTTGTTGTTCTGTTAAAATATGAAAAAAATATTAGAGCATTTCTATACAGTCATGGGCTCTAGAGTAGGTATCTGACTTCGCTAAATCATGCAAGTTCCATCCAAAAGGGAAGACATTATCTTCCTTCATTAAGTAATGGTTTTAAAGAAATTGCAAGTAATTTACCTTTGTATGTTGTGGTTTAAGGATATTCAATACTTAATATTAACTCAAGGACAAAAGATTTAAGTCAGAGAAAGTGAAAAAACATTGTAAGATTAAGTTTAAAGGTTTTTTTTTGTTGTTGTTGTTTTTAAAGCTAGCGGAAAGAATCAATACCAATAGACTAACCTTCAACAAGGCCGTTAAGTTTATCATCACAATCCCTAAACTCATACTGGAGTCTTTCTTTTTCATTCTCTCTTTGCTTGATATTACCACTGTAGAAGACAAGAAAAGACAATTCAATTCATAAACATTTTAAAAAGAAAACCATCTCATTTCCGTCAACGACAAGAGACCACAATTTTTTCCAAGTGTCTGAAATAAATCTCCTTTTACCTTGTAGATAAAGTACGAATCACCGAAAGAAGCACTGCGGACTATAAGAGAATAGTTTGAGATTAAATTAATGTAATAAAAATGGTTCAAATAAGGAGAAATTAAAGAAAATTTACCGAGGAATCGTAGTATCTCCTTGGTCTGTAAGGCGTCGCCATCTTGAATACCACACCGCTACACCGCTGACACGATATACTAACCACAGGGATCCCGCGTATCCAGACAGGGTGTGTATGGTTTAACCTTCCCACCTTCCTGTTTTCACACACTACGGGATCGGAATGTGAGTGCGAGCGCAGCGCAGCTTTAAATGGAAGGCCTCGTTTCAGTGACGCCCCATGTATGGTCAAACAAGTATTTTTTTAGTTACCCGCTTGTTTACTAAACCCAACTTCCAAATTATCTAACTAACCTTGTTTTATTGCCTAAAGAGCATCAACGGTTTGTCTTAGAGTTTGTAATGTAAATAATGTGTATAGAGGTTTTGCACCTTCACGTGCCAATCCCACAATACTGCTTGGGCTTCCTGTGGTTGGATGGCAGAACAATAAAATCCCTTTGCTCTTGGGAATTGAATTCTTTCTCATGTAAAACGACGGTATTGGCCTGTCATGTAACATAGCTGCCGTCACGTGATGATGCAAAACCGATGGAAAAAATGTCATTCATTGGATAAACGTATTGGATAACATAGATTCGTTCACTGGTTAAGGATTTATTCCTCGGATAGCGCTATCCACCGGGCCCTAGACTGACTCATCTAGCCTCGTGTTTCACACGTGGACATATAGTAGCCTTTTCACATATGAGAGGCTAGTAAGTGCTGCAGCCGGAACAATAGCAATATGCAAATTAGACGCCATATTTCGGTCAAACTATTCAATGAGGTCTCTAGTTATATCAATTCAAAGTTTTGGATCCGATTTTATCGGCCATCCATGAAATAGAAACCTAACACGGTTTCCAATTCAATGATAAATTTGCCCTTACAGGGGATCGATAAAAAAGGAGGGCTTTCACACTCAGTAAAGCAATTGCTTTTATTTTGTAGTGATTTTTCTTAAATATTAAAAATAAAATTAAACCAACAAACTACGGTTACCTTCCTGTCTCGTGCGGAATGTTCATCGGAATGCTATCTATGTAGTGGTCAGTATTTAACCACCTATTTTAAGCAGTCACCGAGATTGATACCTGATTGAAAACCAGTAGAGTTAAGTCATTAAACCCGTGAAATAGATATTAGACTAATACACTTTAGTAGACCCTAATTCCATTGTTTTCTTTTGTGTCTATTTGACTATTACATGTTGACTAGTAATTTTTATTTCACGGGTTTAATGCCTTTACTCTAATGACCGTATATTAAACGTAATTCTTTTAAAACAGAAGTTTCATTTTATTAAAWAAWRWA